TCGGGAGGGATCGGAGGGACGATGACCGAGTGACATGCAATGTGCCAACACCTTCACGTGTCACTTTGGAGCTTCACAGGGTGACAAGCAATTCACTTGGTGACAAGCTTGGACCTGAACATCCCAAACATCGCAAACTTACCTGAGGCTTGCTTGCTGCAGCAGGGAACTGAGGGGTGGGTGCTTCCGTTGTTTCACAGCGTGGAATATGTGATCCCAGATTTGATACATACCCACCGTGTAATTAGGCCCGGGCATGTATAGGCCCTAAGCTCTAGGACTCTAGGGATGATATGGTTTATATAATCCAACATGGTAACACACCTTGTGCGACTCCTCAATGCGTCAAGCAGCATGTTTGCCCATTGGAACTCACAACTCTACAGTCCACATTTCGGGAACAAGTCAGTAGATGTCCCTCCCCCCAGGTGTTTGGAAATTGTTCTCCTTCCATCTTGTCAGCTCTAGGAGTGGATGTGTGGCAGACACTCTGTATACTAATTATATACATGAACCACATAGGTCCTGTAATTCAGACTGAAGGATCCCCTGCGGCAGCAGCGTCTGATTGACGCGATGCCCGGGAGTTTATATATTACGTATTTGCCTTCGTCATGGCATCATGGTTGGACTCCAGTGTGCTCCTAAGACGATGTGTTTGCCTTTCTTATGGTTTCTCCGTTTCTCCATAATTTTCATCTTTGACTTTGCTGTTTCCAACCCCTTCCGGGAGGCACAATTCTATAAGACTGGAACGGTCGCTGTTCGCGATTGGAATCGTTTGGAGGTTTTCTCGCTATGCGTGGCCAAATGAGAGCGAAGGAGGAGGAGGACTGACCCCATGTGTGATTGATTATGTTTGCACCGCCAGTGCAGGCTGTTCGCTGCGTTTTTCTGAATGTTTTGCTTTTCCTCTATATACTGTATATATATATATTATAAGTTATTTATAAAGCATTCTAAGGCTCTAAGGTAATCTGCCTGAGTGAGATGCCCCAACAGGTGTCCCAATTTCAAATTGACTGGAGTGCGTTGCCCAAGTATGGGCCATGTGTCAATCATACTCTTGACTCTGGAACCAGCTGCACATATTCAAATTTGCAAGCCGCAACGCTTCCTTTTCTTCCGTGTGCTTGGCATCTCACAGACCTCCTAGGGTCCTAGACAGTACACAATGAGTTTTCAACCTTTGTAAATCCGTAAGTTTTGCACGCGTCGCATGGATCGTGTGATGCATGTCAGGAGCAAATGCTATACCAACTGCCAAGAACTTGCTTTGTTTCAAGGCCTCCACGGACTTGCGCGACTTGCACTTAGGTGCATTGTGGATTCGACTGTGAGTGCTACCGATGCACGTTTGGTTAACCAGAGGGTCCCAACACCCTGTGAATCACAGAACGTGAGCTTCTTTGCTCACCTCATCTGACACACGAAGCTATGTCGGTGGACCAGGCTTTGGTGAACTTTTGCTACCGCTATGGTGGCCTGTCATAGCCCAAGTTGGCTCAGCCACAAGGTGATTCTCGGAGTCAAGTTGTCCACTTGGGAATCTTGAAGTGGGGATCACTCTTAGGGCCCTGTCTAGGCAGTCGGTCCACTTGGGAAAAGTGATGGGTTTTCACTGAGGCTCGCGGAGCCCGGGTGGACCATCGCTTTGCGCGCCCGCGGCCTGGAGGGGGTTGGGGCAGGCGCCCGGCCCGTCGTTGGCTCCAGTCAAGTCCTGCAGTGAGCTGCAACCGGGTGGCAAGGCTTTCCAATGCTTGGAGCGCACCTTGCAGAAGGCCGGGTCGCTCCGTCAAGCTCCCGGATCGAATTCTGGCAAGAATTTTGGGTCAGAAATTGGTTGACAGACTCAAACTTGAAAAGTCTGGGCCCTGTCTAGGCAGTTGACTCCGATGCATCTAGAAAGAATTGCTTGTCACAGCTCTTTCACTGAGATATCTCAGTCACCGTGAACACCGCACGTTGGGTTGCAACGCAGTCTTGGAGCCATGACGTGCAGCCAGTCCAGGATCCAGGCAAAATGTTGGGATCCAGTCCAGGATCCAGGCAAAATGTTGGGATAGGTAGTTTTTAGCGTCATCCCCATAAGGACCCCATCTATTTAGGTTGGAGCCGTTGGAGGCCATCGCTAGTAGGTTGGAGGCCATTACTACTAGTAACAAGAAGCTACTAGCAATCAGGAAGCCAACCTGGCTCTCCATTCTCAGCTTTCCAACCCTCGCTCCCAGGCTCCTTCGGTGCCCAACTCCGATCTTGCTGCCCTGCGCCAGGCCCGTTTGGAAAACTTTGTCGTTCTAGACTCCGATTTGGTGAATGGCGACAAGCAATGTTTGCAAAGGACCATCGAAGTTTAATTACTCTGCTTGGGGTGTCATACTGTTCACTCCACTTCCATGTTGGAAAGTCGGAGTGTAGGTCGATGTTGCGGTCCACTAACTTTTGCGATGGTTACGTCATGTTGGAAATCCACAAGTTCTTCAGATGAATCTGGATTTTATACATTGCTCCCGGCATCTACGCCATTATTAAAGTTGCTGGAGGATGGAAGTGGCATGAAGTGGCTATATCTCGAGGATTGCAAATGTCACTTGTTAGACACCGCAAAGCACGGTGAGTGACGTGGTGGATGGTCAGCGCTTTTGTATTTGGACATGGCAGGCAAAGGGTGGGACAACTCTAAGCAACATCTATATCAGACCAAACGAAGACAAGTTCTTTTTGCGCCCTCCTTGAAGAAACAAGAATAGTTGGGGGTTCACAATTTTCAAGCCCTATGAGATCCTGCGTGGACCTGACCGCAAACCATTGCTCGTTGCTCTACCAGTGCCATTGTCAGGATCTGTTCTGTTTAAAGCTCGTTCCCGAGATTTCGAAACTCAGACATGTGAGAGAAGGCACGTGACAAATCAGGCTGCAAGCTACATTTGTCCACATGATGCAATTAGATCAGACGAAAAACACATCTATGTTTGACCAGCGCGCGGGGAGAGAGCCAATATGAGCCGTGGCGTTGGCATGCCTGGCAGAGACCTCAGCACTCAGAATGGCCAAATGAGAATGGTTAGCCCGGAGTCCGCAGATCCGATAAAAGCTACAATCAGGGCTGTGGTAAACCTGCTTTCTGTTGAGTATGGACTTCGAACTGGGCATGGCCAAACGTTTGTTGTTTCCTTTTTTGTCAAGTTGTTTGTTCGTTATGTGCTTACTCGTTCCTGCTATAGGCATTACTCCCACACAGCACCTTCAAGTTACAAGATGTTATAAGTTACAGGTAGCACATCATTTGTTGAAACCTGGATATTGGCAAGGCCTGGACATTGTCCATAGCTATTATTGGAGGTCCACTCCACTCTACTTTGTAGGCTTGGACCTGGAGAATCGAAACTCGGCTTTGCTGTGTAGAGAAGACACGTTGTGTGGCTTCAGGTCGTGTGGCCAAATACCAGTACCTGGTGAACAATTGGACAAAGGGATCGGACACTGGCGTTCTTACGCGAGGGTGTGTCAGCCTGCGGTTTCGGCTCAAGCTGGAGACGCGCTGAAAAACACATAAATGATAAAGATCATAAAGGAAAGGATGCCCATGAAGTTCTATTTACCTTCCACAATGGAGTCCACCTATTTCTTTATGAGCCGGATTGGGGCCACTTACAGAACATGACCTCAAGAATAAGCTGGACCCTCCTGGCCAACCTTCATGTCTTGGAGAGGGAAAACATTCAGCATGCAGTTGGGCATGCTTGATGGTAGCCCTCGGCTGGATGACAACCATGTAACTTTAAACGTGAGCTGTCGAACCTCGAGTGCTCCAGGTGCCACAAACCACCCCGGACATGCGCACAAAACTGCTGAACGCACGGACTCCCTCCTCCACATCACACACCCTTTTTCCAACCAAAGGAGTGGACTTCCGATTCCGATGGTTTGGAATTTGGATCGGTGAAGCTCCGAGCCTCAAGCTGTCAACACCGAGCACACCGATCAGGCACTCGATTGTAACCGATGTTCGGTCAACGCACGCACAATCGCACAATCCACATCCCTGAACCTGCCACTGGTTACGGTTAGATCCTTTCCTCAACCTAATTGAGGACGAGTCAACTATCGAAATCTCTAAAGAGATCGAGCACAGCCAGCCAGTCAGCACCGTTGGTGAATCCCCAGGGTTTCCGACACTGGTCCCGCGATGTCGGGCCGCTTCTATGGCGCGGAGCAATTCAACCCGCGCAAGATTACCACCCAGAGCTGTGGTGGCAGAAAGGAACGTACCCCGTGCGGTTGCATGATCCCGTTCGATGAGGTTTTTAGGCCCTCTATGTTGGGCTTTGACTGTTGAGAACCGGCTTCCGTAAGGAGGCCATAGATGGCCATAGTGGGTTTTTGTGGTGGAACAGTAACAGGACAACTGGTGTTGATTGGTGGCCTGATGCATTCAAGCACATAGATGTCTTCGAGTTGGAAACGGTCGTAGGTTGTGACTTGAGATTCAGAGAAGTAAATCCTGAGGAGCGCGACTTCAAATCATAGGCGCACAAATGCAGCACATCACAAACCCAGATCATCTATGTATGGTATACATGCCTACCTTGATTGACCCCTGAAACCATCCCAATGTGGGTAAAAAGGCCACATATACAATTATGTAATGGTTTGGGAAATGACCGCTGCGGCATGTCGCAGCACCAATCACCTGCAGTCAGCACGCGACACACTCCACTCCACCACATCGCAAAGCAACACATCAGAGGTTTCATCAGTGAGCCAAAGAAGGCCAAACAGGAAACAGATTGACTATATACATTAGTTCGGGGCGGTGCATCAGCCGACCCAAATCCAAAAATCAATGACCAAGTCGTTTGAACGCGAGTAGACATTTGCTGAACCAATCGGACCAATTTAGTAGGGGTGTTGCAGTGTTGCTCAAGCTTAGTCATCCTGGGTCGACACGACCGGTGAGCTGTGGAAGCACTGACCTCCCGAAACCGAGGATCTTGGTGATGCAAAGCTCGTTCTGGCTTTGCTTGGGCTCCTGTGTGGCCATGGGTGATTTGTTTTGGGGTGAGGAGCAAGGTGCTGCACAGCTTTTTCAACCAGAGGCCGCCCTGACCAGTTTGGGATCGTGACGGTCATTGTTCGGTGGTTCCATGGTACCATCGATGGTTTACAGGTTGGTCAAGGTGGTTTCATCAAGCGGGGTGAGCCTTCGGAGGATAACCGCATCCAGAATCCAACAGCTCTTGCTTGGTCAGTGTTGTGCCGTGTACTCTGTGGTAGCAACCATATTGATTAGTTATAGTTAATGGATGTTAATGGTCATTTGCATCGCAAATTGAACATAAAAACAGGTTTTTGTTCTCCAGTTTGCTCGGCAGTCGTGAAACCGCAAACCTGTGGGACCCCTGTTGTGTGCTGAAGGTTGTCAGTCTGCAAAGAGGTTGGAGGCATAGACTTAGACCTCTCCTTGCAAGCCTTTAGGGGGTGACTGCTAGCAGCATCTAACAGCTTAACAGCCATGGCCTTTTCAGGACATACTGTCAAGCCAGGTCTGTTGCTCCTCCCAAATTAAAATCACAAGGTTTCGCAACAGATCGTATTTAACTCAGCTCTTTGGTCATTGAACAGGCCTACACCTGGACAACGACTCGTGGGTTGATCTTAACCTTTGCCTTGTGGTTCACTTCTTTGATCATGGCCATTGAGCTACGCTTTGTGGTGCAACGAGCCAAGAAATGCTGCTCGGTCGGCCGCTGCGCGCGTCCCGTCGCTTGCGTCACACTCATGTGTTGCTGGTCGCGGTTTCGGATGTAGAAGATTCGCAGGGGGGGGCGAATTGAACAGGGAAGTAACACCAGGAACTCACCCAGATGAGTCTGAGAGCACCCACTGGCTGTCACTGGTGTTTGTGTTGCCAAGCCACTTGAGGCTTGGACTTCGTCGCGACCTACCATATTTTTCACCTCATTGCCACCTGCTTTGCTGAAGGTCGGAGCCCCAGACTTGGCTGCAAGCATTCCACCCTTTCCAGCTTCCGAGCAGCTTTGGGAAGGGACTGGGACAGTTCGATCACTTGCCCTTGCAGAAATCCTCCTGGAACACTCCGAGTGGCTCTCCAAAACTGCGACCCAGCCATTTAATATTATATAATAATATAGTATACAGACCCAAATCTTGTGGTTTGATATGGTTTGATGAATTATGTAAGTGCCTATTGTGTTTGTGTGTTCTCGGGTCACACTTTCTTCGCGCGTTCTGCGACGCCATGCGCATAGACCTTGGCTGATTCACATCTTGCAGGGCCCTTCAGGTTATACCACCCCTACAACAGTGGAAGGGGCCGTGAAGGGCAAGACGAGACCGCATGGCGTTCGACCAGAAAAATGGCATGTTTGATCAAAGATGAGAGCTTGACAAAGAACCGTATCTGGAGTTTGACTGATATATCTTGATTTGATTATGACTGTTAGAGAGAGTCGTTCGTCACCGTTCCTCTAACGTCCAGAACCCCATCACTGAACCCTGGAAGTGTACTGAAACCTACCTTGGCCATCCTTGGAGGTTTCCCAGCCACCGGCGAATGGTGGATCATCCAGATCCCTGCGATACTCACGGCTGTTCTGCTGGGCGAGTACATGTGCATGCAAGCAGAAACCAGAGACATCACGCTGGGCAACAAAGGAGGCAAGAAAACCTCCAAGCCCAGCTTCGATGAGATTTAAAAAGAGTATGCCGCCATTCTGCGAGAGGTCAGGACTAGCCGGGCTTACTTTTTGGGCTGCACAAATGGACATCATCGGACATTGGATACTTCAAGTCGCAAATCTTTTGAGTGGGAGGTCTCACATGCTACTCCTAAGCCCTAAGCCTTGTGTGATTGTCACTGGTGACACAGCGACGGGAGAAACCGTTCAAATTGGAATAGCACCTCTTGGGCTAGCCACGGGTGGGTCAGAGAAATCTGGTCACAGAAAACGTACCAGAATCAAAACATCATGTCACTTCCTGGATTTACTATGCCTTGAATTTTGAGCTCAATGAGCACATGCATTGTTGGGGTATATGATTAACCCGCGAGTCCATTTGGAAGCCACCAACACCTATGCAGAGCGGCCACGATCTAGCGGAATCAGAGCGGAACTAGAGACTTAAGCCACAATTTTGCGCAGAGGTTGACCTATGCTACAGTAGATGGTCCACGTGGTTGAAAGGGTTTGAGTATTTCGTCCATCTAAGCATCTACGGTAGTGAATGAAGACCGCCCAAGCTGAGTCTCAAATAGTTGGATGGATTCTGACATGATTTGACATGTTAATGTTAACTGCGTCAAACAAATGCCTAGCTGGCGCTGTGTGATTCTCGTGATTCTCGATCGGGCCAATCGTCACAACAGAAAGAGACGAAGACCTGGACTGGGGACCGTTGCTGAAGAAATGAAAGTGGCTACTTATATTGTGTAAATTACCAAGGTTCGACATGTGCAGAAATGCGTTTAGGGCAGCATATATAACAATATCATAGATAACTATATTCATTTATTATATAGGTTGATACACATGCACAGCATAAATGATCCTATACTGTATCATGGCAAATAGTGTTGAACACAACTTTAATAGAATAGTGTTTTTGCATGTTTTTGCGCAGGCAGGGTCGGTTTCGTGAGCTGCGGCGGCTCAAGCCATGGCGCACAGCTGCGCCATCCCCGTGCGGGTAAGATGGAGCCCAAGTGCCGTGGGCAGCAACGGTTCCGGTGGAGAAGGTGTTTTGCAGAGGAGTTTTTCCAGGATGGCATGTAATTCATTCCATGGATCCATGGACAATGGGATACGAATGGAACCGCTCTTCTCAGCCTTTTGTGACATCCACACTCTTCATCCATGCAATGAACTGGTGCAAAGAAGGTTGGCCCGTGAACATCCAAGGGAGATCGTGTTCCCTTCTCCACCCGGCATGTCTTTGCCGATCGCTTTCGCTTCGGCCGATCCTTGTCTTCACCTCGCGGACCTGTTTTTCGACGTCCAAATCTGGGAATTGGCGCACTCCCCGAAATAATCATGCAAGTGGAACGTGTCCCGCAGGATGATCCTTTTCCTTTATGTACTGGTAACAAGATGCTGCTAGGGGCTCCTGGCCTTACTACTACTAACAAGGACGCTACTAGGGGCTCCTGGCATCGCTACTAGGAACAAGAAGCTACAAATAGAATCAAACAGGTGCGGTGGTTTTCCACTCCCATGATTCTTTCAAGGAGTGTATAATATGGATAATGTGATATTATATAGATCCCGTAATTTATTGAAGTTGAGGATCAAGGGTGTATTCGGGGGGTAAGGGTTTCCCATCATTTTTCAGTTATATATATATATATTGGTAGTATGCCTTTGATCTTCACCAACCTAAGGCCGGTGCCCGAGATCTTAGCAGGCAAGACTGGCTGCGAGTTTCAGTTGCTTGAGACAACGACGACCAGATATGTTAGTTTGCTTAAACGACTTAAAGGATCATCCGCGTTGCCAACTCCTTTACGAATATGTTCACTTTGCTGCCTTTTGTAGAGGTCAAGAACGTTCATCTCGCGGAGTGAACCGTTGTAGTAAAAGAGCACTTTGACATGTAGGATCGAAAGGGTCATTCTGTAGTATGTTTGAAGCATGTCATTTGATGTTATTTCTTGTATAGACTTTCCATGTCTAGACCAGGCAGCTTCACATTGTAGTAAGTTTCTGCTTGCTGCTCCATTTTGTGGCCAAGTCCGACTTGCATTTTGTAACTCGCAGTTTCTTCAGCGTCGTTGTGTAGAAAATCTGACAAAATAAAATCTAAGATTCTAAGATCGGACTCGGGCCCAGACCCCAGCCACCTCAATTTGGATGGTGATCCTCCTGGCACAAGTATGTGGCCCGAAATGGGAAGGCTGCCACAAGGAGCGCCTTTGGGGCTTACAGACGCTTTTTGGTCCCCGCTCGCCGGCTTTCAGCCCTTCAGTCCCAGGCTTGTACCGGAGCTCCTTGGAAGCGCCTGAAGCCTTCCAGGCGGAATACGAGGCTTCGAGCAATCGAGTGCTGTCCATCTTGCAGAGCCTCTTGGCACGGGCAGAACCAGATTGGAAGGTTTTGGAACGCAAGGAGTGGATAGCACTCCAACCATGATGGAGAATTTGTCTGGCACGTGGCACTTGAGAGCTGCCGAGTGGATCTTCTATAGTGCAATAAGTTACGAGCCAACTCCTCATGTTCTTCCGGCCACTTGACCTGCACCAGTCTAAGGTCATGGCAACCTCATGTAGGGTGAACAGATGGACAAAAACCAATTCTTTAACATCTTCCGAACGTCATGCGGCCCATTTGCAGAGACTTGCTGTGAACATCACGGCGGTGGTCCTGCAAGCTGCAATCCATTGAGGAACGCGTTTCTGGCTTGGTGTGTGGAATTTGCATCTAACCAGATCTTAGCTTGGCTATAGGGCGTCTTGTTCATCCCTAATGCAAGTTGTTTTTCAGGTCAAACGTCAAACACATCACATATCACAAGTTCATACTTGTTCCATCGAGCGTCGCACTGGCATCTCTGCCCGGGCTGAAAACCGTTTCCGAAGACTGTCGGCCCGTTCGGCCCTTCAACATCACGAGACTGAGGCTTTGAGCTGCAAGAGTTCGAACTCCAGGCGTCCAAACAAAAATGGTTGGCTTTGCTTTGGGGATGACTGATGAAGACATACGGTAGACGATCTACAATACACGTATGTGAACCATTGTAAATCAAGGACAGTATGTACGAGTATGTTGCTGTGTGTGTGTGATGGTGTTGGATAGAGTGCATGGCTGGCTTTTGCAAACTCACACATGCGTAGTTGGTTTGATTGGTCTACTGTATCATACTGTGCCACATGTACGTGTGTGTGTGTGTGAATTTTGTTTGGGTTTATATACATAGGAGAAGGATTCAGGGGTGCTAGAGGCTATAGGTAGGGGGGCAAGCTTGCACTCATGGAAGTCAGCCGACACTCCTATTCGTCCTATTCCGGTAAAACTTATCGTTTTTTTGGCCAGTTAACCAGAGGTCTTGATGCTACTGAGTGGACATGCCAAGTCTTGAGAAACACTAGTAGAAACACTGCTCAACACGATTTCCGGCTTTATTGCAATTCGGCTGTCCAATTGAGGTTCAATTGTGTTGTCAAGAGACCTTTGCTAGCGAAGTGGTGCACAAGCCGGATTTCAGATTCATGCTCAGGAGGTCATGCTGGCAACCACTTGCTTGCCTCAGAGTCACCTCCGGCTTTCACACACGCTGCTTCAGCACATCTCATAGCCACAAAAGCTTCAGCACCCACGACGCGCCAACCATCCGCCAGTTGGATGATGCCAATGCGCTGCACTACGCGGCTGGCTGTGGATGCTTGGACTTGTGCGAGGCCTTACTGCGGCAACATCCGCAGCTGAACTTCCAGGACGCGCCACCGGGGCCTGGGAGGTGAGCTGGGTAGCTGGTGAGGTGAGCCTTGATTGTAATCTGGAACTGCCTTCAGATGGTAGACATGTGAACCAGATGCCACTAGTACACGTGTACTTTCCGCATGGCACAATATCGGGTATCAAATGCGCTTAGCATGCACTGGTTTAAGTGCCTCATGATGGCTCTCGTCACATGTCTTTGGTTTGTTCTTTCAATTTGCGTTCAAAATCAAGGGTTCAGCTTCTCGGCTGAGATGGCTAGGAGGATCAGTACGGACATACGCCCTTGCTATGGGCTGTGCGGCATGGCATGGCTGGAGCGATGCAACTGTTGTTGAGGCCATGGTGGCAGCCCGTGAGACCACAGGAAAGGTCTCGCAAACAGGTTGGAAGCCATCATTTCCACTAGTAGCAAGAAGCTAGCAAGTTGGAGACCCAATACTGAATACTACCCTCCAATCATCGTGGAAGGTGGAAGCAGACGACCCAGCTCCTTTCCTTTACACACAAGTGGTTTTGCATGGTTTTGCACTGGAGAGTGGAACAAGTCACGAACATGTTAAGAAGTTTCGACCTCTTTCACATGATGTCACTAGTCAAGAAAGGACCTTAGATGGACAAGTCATCTACGAGGTGATTTTACAACTGCAAGGGTGCTTGACCTGCACGATACGGCTCCAAATCCCCTGATGCAGTAAGACTGCCCCCTGGTTGGATGGCAGACTTGGCACCCATACCCAGAAGGGCCAGCAGGGCTTGTGCCCCCTTGCTCGAAAAGGGTGTCCTCTTTGATTTGTTTGGTACCAACCCCGTGGAGTTTGGGTGATTTCCATCACCGGGCCTCGGCCATCCAATTTTGATGGATTATGGTCACGACGCGCCGCATGCGGGCCCCAAGGAATCCACCAGTTCAATGGGAGATGTTGGCATGCTGGGAGGACCAGCAATTGATGGTCCACGTCATTCGGCCTCACCCTGCCTCCATCTAGTCATGGAAACACACCGGTTTGTAGAGGAAAGTAGGCAAGCGGAAGGTCAATTTGACCAAGTGCGTTCTGAAAGCTTATCGCTCAGGAAACTTCGCTTGCCCTTATGTAGATACTTCGCTTTGATGCTTGTGAATGGCCCGATGAGGTGAAAATGAGTTTCTGTAGATGATGCCTTTGCTGTTCGGAAACGCACCATTGGTTGTCCTTTCACTCGTTCCTTTTCTGAAAAGACATTTATATGTCATACACGGTTCCACCGTAACGAACGCAAGTCAAGGGTCTGTTTAGAGCTGGGAGTTGGAGCAGCAGATGCTTCGGATGCCGAAATGGTGCAGTTGTTGGGCCAGGCATGGTGCTTTGGCCTGGCATTCAGACCAACGAGGCCTTACGGCGCTTCACTGGTGCTGTGCCTTGGATCTTCCCAGGCCAGGAGGTGCTGTGCCGTACTTCGGCTTGACATGGTCACCGGGCCACTCAACAGGTGAACGGGTTGGGACTCCCGGTCCTTGGGTGAAACCAAACTGCCCTGGAGCCAGGCTCTGCAGACTTCTCCTGGCGGTGCCGCTCTATGTTGAGGCCCAGCTTCAGAGATCGGTAGGTACAGAGGTCGAAGAGAATCATTCATGGCCAAGAACTGGGAAATATACATATATATATATATATATATGGACATATAAGTTAAGGGACACACACACATATTTATATATATATACTGTATATATATATATATATATCTCACATATATATATATATTACCTGGACCTTCAAGGGGTGTCCAATCAACTACCCCACACTACCTATAGGCTTCCATTGGGCACCCCTTGGAGGGTCTAACATTCTTATGTGTTTATATTATATATATATAGTTTTGGTGTTGACAGAACCTCAGCGTCTCGCTTCCAGACCATGATTGATCAGCGCTGCCGTCGGGGATGGACACCCTTGCACTCTGGAGCCTATAGCCCCTCGGCATAACGCTGCTGGTCTCATTCAAGCACACGCGGCCGGGGCGATCGTGTCAAGTCGCTGAGAACTGGCTTCGATCGCTTAATGACTTAATTATTTGTTGGGCCCACCAACCGCGGTGGGACTTGACATTGCAGCTTGCTGCCCACAAACATATGAAACCTCACGAAAGATCGCCAGAACTACCAGCAAGTGAACTAAGAAATGTCTTCGGTGAAGCGCAATCTCAGCACTCTTTCTGTGGCTTCTTGAGTTTGTGTCCTATCTCAATAAACCGTTTAGGTTCATGCAAACATAACTTAGTTCGCATAGTTTTGAACGTGCTTTACATTACAACTGTAGTATACTGTAGTATACATTTATATAATTGTTAGTTCTAACTAAGGACAACGTTACGCTGATTAAACTTGGAAGAACAGGTTTGTTCTCACCGGGCAGAGAGATAGTTGGATTCATTTCATTTGTGCGAAGGCTCGGGCGTTCGATCTACAGACCCGCTGCGGAATCAAAAGCGGTTTCCCAATAGGAGAGGGCCGACAGCCGACAGGTAGCCGATAAAAGCCGACAGGTGTGGAGTTTTCGTCCATGCGACTCTTACTATAGTTGCACTAACGCATATCTTTCCCATGGTTTTTGAAGGGGGGTCGACAAAAGGCCGGCAACTATATCAAAAAAGTAACATATTTTGAGCAAAGATTTACTCTGTTGCTGCCGGCACAACGCACACTAAAGCTAAATATTTGCTCCAAACACTTGAACCACAGCCTGTATTGACGCGCTTTAAAAATAGTTCTGACACTATGTTTAACTTCAATAAGCTACATTTAACTAACATGAAACAATCAAAGTTTCCACTCAACTAAACTGAATTTGCTTAGAACATATTTCCACCTTACATTTTCTAGGGCAAATAAGATATAACATAACATAGATTATGTTCAATACGTAGAACTAAAACTATTATTACTGCCACTTATCGAAGTACACATTAAGTCATTGAATTACAAATTCGTTTTCACTTCCATTTCCAAGCTCATAACTACCCTAAGTAGGACACGTTTAAAATCATGCTGAAGGTTTGTTCCGGATTGAACTCTTCGTGGTCGCACGATTTGTTGGATAATGTGGTGCATACAATCCCCCTCATCAGTACCCCATGCACACCATAAAAGGGGTTTGAGGGGCGAGACTTTGGACCGCAACTGGGCCTTTGGCACCCAGATGTCCAAGGTGGTGCGGCCAGCTGCTGCGAACAGTTGGTGGCGGCCAACGCGCAGCTGGCGCTGCGGACGCCAGACGAGTGGACAGCGTTGCACCTGGCAGCCTTGAAGGGACATGCGGAGGCGATGGCTCAGACGGACGGATGAATGAGGGTCGTGGATCGTGGTGCATGGACGTTGGTAGGTTGGATTGATGCAAGGGTGGATTCCGTGGATTCCAATTAAATAGAACTTGATGCTTTAGCTGCGGCACACCACCAGCCAATGTGCAAGGTGCTTGCAATCTCCTTGTTTGATGTTCTTGCCTGGCGCAATCTAAACCTCGGAGGTTGGTTGACACCTAGCAGTTGTTCGTCCAATGGCAGGTCTTGAACATCTTGGCACCTCATTGTTCCACAGAGGCGCATGTGGATGGTGGGGGCTCTCCGAGCATACGGTCGAAACGTGACGGTCAACACTCACCGCTCGTCCGATGTGCGGTCAACGCCCGATCGGACATCAGGCAGTTGCTACCCTGATGTTGAACTGTGAACCCTGCATCAGGGTAGCAACCCTGATGGCGTTACTGCAGTGCAGTTCCAAGGTGTTTCGGAAATAACAAGTGGGATTTGGTGGCCATGCTTGCTCTAAGCAGTCATATATTCGGTATTCCTTAAGGGCGCTACTCCCACCAGTTGACAGTCAATTCAACATGAGTATGCACAACCAGGAGTTCAGTGATGGTTTGGAACTTGCAGGGGTGGAGAAAAAAACACATTTGGTGGTTGTCGCCTGCAACGGCCTTAGCCAGGTCATGCTGGCCTTGGATAGCAAAGGCTTCAGTGCCCTGGATTTGGCCAAGGTGCTGCTGCCTGCGGTTTGTTCAACATGTTCAATTTACATCAGCTCAAGTGTTTTTTTAAATATTCATCACTTCAATACGCGACCCTCAAATGTGTGACTCCAAAAAACTGCATCCTGCACCCTGATGGAAGAGGAGAACATGGTTTCACGTTTGAGGTGTAGCAGCTGTATGCTTTTGGAGGGGTCAGGGCCAAGCATTCAGTCAGTTTGTTTGAAGAGCTCGGGTTGGTCACATCTCATCCCTTGCTGCCCGTGGGGCCCAATATCGGACCGTTCCTGCGAGGACTCAGGGCATGCGGCGGCCGTGGAGGTTCTACGACAGCCCGAGGACACGGATCACACGCCTTGCTACATAACAAAAGCCGGGTTTTCTTGAAGCCATGGTTTCAGTCAAGGGGGCCTTTCAGAAGCTTTACCTCGCGGCATCAGGCATCTTACACATGGATCTCGGCCAAGGGGATTGGGCGGACAGCACGGGGCAGGCTTTTTGTTTCATGCTTGGCAGCACCCATCAGAAAGGGATATAAGATGATGAAGAATAGGCCTCATCATCAATACCTCAAAAATGATTCAACCCCACATGTTGAGGCAAGGGCCATTTGGATTGAACTGTGCATCAACCTTTATAGAGAGAAACATCTAAGGGCATCGTGGCATCGCTACTAGTAATAAGGACGCTACTAGTGGCTCCTGGCCTTACCTAGGAGCAAGGACGCTACTAGGAACAAGAAGCTCCTAGGTTTCCCCGAAGAGGTCCGGTCGCATCGACTCCAGGAGACGCATCGCCACTTGGTGCGCGCTTGGTACAAGTGCCTGTCACGGGGGCCCGAGGCCATCCTTCGGGCCCATTCGACCGTCAGGAGCCCCGATCGTAGCGTCCTTGCTCCGTTCGTAGCGATGCCAGGAGTGCTCCGATCGTAGCTTCTTGCTCCTAGTAGTAAGGTCAGGAGCCCCAGGTAGCTTCTTTGTTAGAGCGTAGACTGCGTAGACCCATCTTGGGAGCGTTCTGATAGTAAATTCGCCCATGAACAGTGCTGGAGTGCCGGACGGGACATGCTGGGACCGTAGAAGTTGTGGCTAGATGGGAGATTTGCTAAACCATGCTGATTTATGCTGATTTGTTGATGCATTTTAATGCTATTGCTCTGCCTTTTGAGGCGTGGATGAACTCAGGTTGTCATGCTACCTTCCGACACTACCGCTACCGCTGAAGCCGAAAAGAACCAGGGCACCGATCACATCCGGTAGACATCGCTTGGCGTTCCACCGCAATTCCTTGCGCACGAAACCGAGCGCAGGTGGACTTTCACGACCTCATGGAAGCTGCACTTCTTATCAAGGCTGGGCTGCGAGGCAATTGGACCTTCATCACATGCTGGACTGCCAGAGGATGCCAGCACCACATGGGATATCCTGATGGAATAATGTTCAACTCGCTTCAGAGTGTGTGGATGTTCTTTCCTGCACTCTTCCCTTCACTGTGTACAGTGACAATCTCTTTCAGCTAGGCACCCGACACTCTGACAGAAAGTGTCAGACCAAGTCAAGAAAGAGGTTGTAGATCCTGTTGATTTTGCCACACGACACAACACCAGAAGTTTTTGGTTCGGGTTCATGCCACTCTCCAGGCACCCATCATGGAAAAAGTGAGCAAGGACGCCTTGGAGCTTTGCTGCCATGTTGTTGACCTTGGGCCTCCTGGCTGATTTGCCAAGAGTTGGACATGCAGATGGGCTTCAGAATCGGGTTCGAGCTTGTCATGCAGACTTATAAGCAGAGCTCGCAGCTCTGTGAGCTTGTAAACTCCGATGCATACCGATGTATTGTTGGTGTTGGAAGGCCTACAAGTTTCAAAGTGCCCCTAGATGCTCCTGGCAACAAAGGCAGTGGCAGACGCGTTTGAAGAAGTGGATTTGGAGCTAAAGATTCGTAGGACCAAGCCTCTATTGGTGGGCTTGTTGGTGCGCAGCATGTTGCCACCAATCGCCACGCATCGCTACCAATTGCTTTATGCAGAGATATTCTGTATAGACATGCATATTTATAGAAATGATTGGAAATCAATCAATATATTATAAGATATACATACATACACAAATTTGAATTTGTACTAAGTTTGTACCATTTTGTCTAAAACAATGTGAAGCCGTGCCGGAAGCCACGTCTGGCCATTTGGATTCAGCTTAGCCAAGTCGTGAAAAACCTAAGAGCTGTTCTTCGCCTGATGGCCGGACCATGGAGGTCAGGGAGATCGCAGTGGGAGGTTTTCATTTTCTAGCGCTCTTCAGCACTGGAGACCTTTATGGCTGGGGTAGCAATCAATTTGGACAGCTGGGAGATGGGACACGTGAGGAGCGTCATCAGCCAGTGTTCATCCTCAAGGAGGTTGCTACTGTATGCGCAGGCTGGTACCACAGCCTGGCCACCTTGCAAACAGGTGAGACCTTAGCCTGGGGCCGCAACAACTGTGGACAACTGGGTGATGGCACCAAGACGGATCGAATGAGGCCTGACAAATGCTGCTAAAACCCATGCTTCTTAGGTTCTTGGATGTTCTTGGCAGGCTGCTGGGATATTTACCTCATTATACAAACTGATTTGAGAAAACGATAGAAAACGCTCGTTGTTCTGCTTTCTGTGGCCGTGGCCTATCCACATATATGACCTTTTGGAGGCCGGTCACTGTGAAGCCGCCCATCAGCCTCATGAGTCTGGGAGGGAAACAGCTCAACGCCGAGACACTGGCGGCGGGGCAGGACCACAGCCTGGCGATCGCCCCTGGGCCGAAGACAGATCTTTTGCGATCAATATATGTAAGAACATGTCTCAATGTTAGACGCTGTCGGTTTGTACCAGATCGGCCACTCGGCACTGTGTTCCTCCGGGCAGGAAAAGAACAAAACCACGTTTGGGGCTGGGAGATGCCGAGAGAACATGGCATTCCATGAATCAATCTGGGCCCTCATTCCATTATCCATCAGTTCCATCAGTCTATGGAGGTTTCGCCAAGTTCTAAGATGTTCAAAGCCTATCCGAATCGCAGTTGTTTTGGGCTCCTTGAGCTGTAGAAACCTGTGTTTCGTCGACGCAGGTGAGGCCCCCAGGGCTCGAGAGGACCTTGCTTTTTGGATGGGGTGCGAATGTGGCGAAGCCGGTGACTGAGGAGGAACGCTTTAGCCAACCGGGCTGATGTTGGCTGGATGTTTTTTCTAGTAGGTCATGTTGGATCAAATTGAATAGGCGCATTTAGCAAGGAGGATGAACACCAGGATTGCCTGTAGCACTGTAGCATTATGTCGGGCGCGCCAGCCACAGATACAAGGAGCCAAAATAACTTATAAAGCAAACAACTAGCAAAAAACAGCAAAAGGTAAAGCAAACAAAAAAGCAAACAAATGCAGCTGTGCGTGTTTGTCGCTTTTGTTTGCTTTATTTTTGCATTTGTTCGCTTTTTTTCCGCTTTTGTCCTAGGAGCGTACAGCAAATATTGCTGACGGGTAAAAGATCTCATAAGTGCAGAAGTGGTACCAGGAAAAAGCAACAACAATGCAAAAACAAAGCAAATTGCGCTGCTTTTGCATTTTCATTTGCTTTGGCGTTGCTGTTTTTTTCGCTTTTGTCACACAAAACATATTTGATGGTTGGTCATGTAATGCTGCCATTGCCCAACATAACTATAGCACTTGACACCACGTGTCGGAACTTTTGCTGTGCATTCCGTTCTACGATGACACTTCCTGTGACCTTTGCCATGTCTCAGATCCAAGGCAATGTCTCTCCAGACTTGCTGAGTCCCCAGGCATTGTTGAGTGATGTGAAGCAAGTGGCTGCAGGGCGGAGCCATTCCATGGCTTTGTTGAGCTCTGGTGAGTTGTTGTCCTGGGGTCGGAACAGCCATGGACAGCTGGGAGACTGCTCTGACCGCAACAAGACGGAACCCACCAAAGTCTTGAATTATGTCCGGCAAGTCGTGGCTGGAATGGATTTCACCCTGGCACTGTTGGAGAGTGGTATGGTTATGGCCTTTGGTTACAATGCTGGCGGACGGCTGGGCACCGGCAGCACCCGACACCAACAAGTCCCAGTGCCGATTTTAGAAGGCGTGAGGTCCGTTGCGACCGGTCACGACCATGCTTTTGCCATCCTGGAGAACGGCCAATGTTTGGGCTGGGGAGTCAATCAGCACGGTTGCATCCGTGTAGGCGGCGATCCCGAAATCCATACGCCCATTGTCATCGAGGGCTTTCCGGCCGGCACCAAGGAAATACGCGCAGGGAACAGCACCACCCTGGCCATTGGAGAGGATGGCCACTATTCCTTCTGGGGCCGCAACTTCCAGCGACAGGCCGTTATTTTGTTTGTTGCTTCTTAACTGTTTCACCTTTAATAGTCACATTTATACTAAAAAATATGGTTTAATCAATTTGCCTTTCTACTCTACTTATACCATTCCAGGGCCATTTCGGGGAGTACACAACCAATGGAGCTGTTGGATCCAAGCCAAGAATCCGTGTCTTCCTCAGGTCTCTTGTTTGCAGGATCTCGGCCTGGAAGTGGGGCTGAATTGGCGCCCCTCAGATCCGGTGCGAGGTGAAGTGGCCTCGGCCATTGCGGATCCCAGCAGTTACGACCTCAAGGAATTGTTGGCCTCTTTGAGAGAAGGCGCCAACTCCGAGTGAAGATGGAGTTCCGACCCCCTTGCGGTTCTTAGTTGCAGGGTTTCATTTGGGGTGACATATATAAATGGAATCATAGAGAACAATTGGTTCCGAATCGGTTCCAATCAGTTTGCTTGGAATGGCTTGGGCAGATAAGTTGTGCTTCGACATGTGCTAATATGTATGTGTATATATATATATCTGTGTGTATTTATGCGGATACAGTTCTGTGTTTGCAAATAAACATCAATAGATGTGTCCAACACCAAGCTCTGTCACCTCCTTTGACTTTGAGGTGCCGGATCTGCCGGTGAAGTAGGTCCCTTGGAGGAGGAAAAGGTGAAGCAGCAGAAGGAAGCAGAAGTCCTTTTGGATCCCAGTCTAGTTCAGAAATATCGTCGGCCAGAAAAGCATGCCACAGAAGAGAAGGTGGCCCAGAATGATTTGAGAGAGTTGTCAGGATTTGCACATATTTTCACGCTGTGAAGGTGACCATGGTAAAAACATGTGAGCTCATGTAAAAACTGGGAAGCATGGAAGACCAGTTTGAACTAAACAGTTGCTTAACCTGGCACATGTTTTCCGTGGCAATTGCGTGTATACGAAGCCAATTCAGGTTGCAACACCTGTGGTGCAAGAAGAAGCCGAAGAAGTGCATCGACACTTCCAAAACTTAGCTGAGGCTGATGAGGCCTTCAATCATTGGATGCACTCGGCCGGTGAAAAGTACGGCCGAGGTGTCCACAAGCGTGTGCATGCGAAGGCCAAGACCCTTGGAAGGGCGTATGCCTTGGTTTGGCAGGCTTATCGGCAAAAGCTGGTGAAAGAGGAGAACCGCAGCGATGACATTGACAAGGATGATGAAGCCTTGATGGTCTTTCATGCCAAGCTCTACAAGGACCTAGGGGGAAAATGAACAATGATTTCACGTTAGCTAGACTCAAGAGCCATGAGACATATGGCTTCTGGAAGTGCTTTACGTTCAGGTGCGGAGGCTAGGTGCGATGTGTAGGAGCGATAGGTACAATGCACAGGTGCGATAGGTACAACGTACAGGTACGACAGGTGCAACGCGCAGGTACGATAGGTACAACACACAGGTGCGATACGTACAACATATAGGTACGATAGATACTAGATTCACAAATGGCCTTTTAAAATGTGTTATGATACACACCACTGACAGATGTGATTTGATTTAAACTTTGAATGTCATCCAGGTTTGTTGAGAATCTGAGATCATACGACCTGCATCAGCACTTGTAGTTAGCCACAGTGCACTCAAGTTCACTTAAGCAGAGCCCTTACACTTCAGATTCTTCAGAGATGCATGTAGCACTCAAATCAAGATTTGGATTGAACGATTGCATTATGAAAACTAAAGCTACACCCAATGTTTAGTTGAAATTTGAAGTCGTTAGGGCTGCAACGTTTGCACACATGCTTTTCGATGCATTTCCGTAGCAGCATTTGGGTGAATCTCGAGCTTTGGGTGCTCCGATCATACGCAGTGATGGCATACACAGAGCCCGAGCCTGCCGAAGTGTCAGAGATCGTGTTCGAAGTTGCCACCATCCTCGAACCCAAGTATAAGGTGTTGGCACACAAGATAGCCAGCATGCTTGTGCGCGATCTTGAACCCGAAACTGGATGGGAAGTCATGAAAATTTTGATGAAGAAGTCCAATGAGGAAGTAGAGACTCACTACCTTCAACGACCAGATCCTCATGGTGATATGCACCAGTGCGCGGTGATCGATGCGATGCTCGAGCTAGAAGACTGAGTAGAGTAGTAGAGAGGATGGCAATACTCAGCATTACCCGGGGATACAGAATGTGCTCGTCACATTCATATACATATATCGTATTTTGAGTTTGAGTATGGGGGTCTTTGATCAAGGCTCACAAATACTTTGGACTCTCTTGATGAGTCCTGTGCGCATGACAAAGTGCAGGAATGAATGGGGACGGTGGGTTTTCAGTTTCCTGGAATAGTAGATGTTTGCTTGTGACTCCTAACAATATGTTTGGCTGAA